AGCGGATTTTAACAATGTTAAGCGGATAAAAAAATCGCTTTAGCGAGAAATAATTATTTAGCGACTTCTAGCGACATTTGAACTTTTGAGATGGCGACTTTTTAAAAAAGTAATTCATTTCAAATAAGTCATTTATCATATGTCCAATTTTGTAATCTACCGTTGGTAACACTGTATATATTATATAATTTCACGACAATTCCCGAACATAAACTAACAATTCAATGTCGTTCATTCACTTTCATCTATTTCGACTTTAGACCACGGTCTAAGGTTTCGACATACAAAAATGCAGCAAGAGTAAACATATTCGAAGATTTATGTAATTTTGCAATAGTAATATTATGACTACCGCACTCAATTGCAGAATTTGATCACGTATTTGGTGCTATGAATGTAGTTAAAAGCAAACTGCGAAACAAGCTATCAGAAAAAACTTTAAATTCTATTCTTCTGATTAGAAATCAGTTAAGGATTAAAAAAAAGAATTGCGCAACGAATGATATTCCCGAAGATGTTGTCAACCAAGTCGATAAAGGCAAACCAAAGATGGGAACTGGAGACATTGGCGAAGCTTCAACTTCCGCTGAAGTTTTTTTTGATGATTTGGATCCATACTTCGCTATTAATTTTGAAATTTAGGTACAAGAACGTACTGAGCTAATTGTTTTATTTTTAATAATATGACTAATGTTTAAACGTGGCTTAAAGATTTAAGGTTTATTTTTTTTACAATATTTTTTATTTTGTACATGAATAATTTTTGTTTTGGTTAATATAATAAAAAATCAGACTTGTTGCATAAATAATAATTTAATTCAAAAAGTTTGTATAAGTAACAATTATTTGACAGATCCTCAACAAATTGCTGAAGCCTTCAACAACCACTTTATTGAATCAACAAATATCAATAATAACAGTAATCAGTGCCAAAACACTAATAGTCTAAGAGTATGTAATAGCATGTATTTAGAAATGTATACTGTTGATGAAGTATTGAAATTAATACAAACGTTAAATAATACGAAGTCGGAAGGTTTTGATGGTATTTCAACGGATGTTATTAAAAGTTATTGTACGGTTTTAGGTAGAGTATTAACTTACCTAATAAACCTGTCATTTAAAAAAACTACTTTTCCTAGTATCTTAAAAAAAGTCAGTTGTTAAGCCGATACATAAAAAGGGTGACTCTAAAAATTTTAATAATTATAGACCGATTAGTATAGTCTCAGTTTTATCTAAAATATTTGAAAAGGCAATGGCTAAACGTATTGTAGACTTTACGACGAAATATACGTCGACTAAATATGCTAAATTGCTAACTCCCAACCATACTGCTTTCGAGGAAAAATAAAAAACTGATTTAAAAATAAAATACTCAAATAAGTGCAATAAACAAAGTCTAGTTTGGTAAAATTTTATTTGTTTCTTATTATTATATCAACATTTTTGAATTTCATCATTCATCATCATTACAGCCCTTCACAAGTCCACTGCTGAACATAGGCCTCCCCCAAGTAATGCCACAAAGCACGGTCCTGAGCCACCTGCATCCATCGACTTCCTGCATATCTTACCAGGTCGTCACTCCATCTAGTGGGGGGTCGCCCTACACTACGCCTACCGGTACGAGGCTGCCACTCGAGAACCTTTCTTCCCCATCGGTTATCGGTTCTTCGAGCTATATGGCCGGCCCATTGCCACTTCAGCTTACTAATCCGTTGGGCTATGTCGGTCACTCTGGTTCTACTGCGGATATCCTCATTTCTGAGTCTATCACGCAGAGAAACTCCGAGCATAGTCCTCTCCATAGCTCGCTGAGCGACCTTGAGCGTCCTCATACGGCCAGCAGTGAAGGACCACGTCTCTGATCCGTAAGTCATCACTGGCAACACGCACTGGTTATACACTTTAGTTTTCAGAGATTGAGGTATACCTGACGAGAAGATGTGTCGTAATTTCCCGAACGCTGCCCAGCCGAGTTGAATCCGTCGATTGACCTCTCGGTCGAAGTTGGACTTACCTAGTCGGACTATTTGTCCCAGGTAAACGTACTCGTCAACATAGTGCTCCCCACAACTACCGGCATAGGTGTGACATGGACATTGAACATAATCTTTGTTTTGTCCATGTTCATCTTAAGACCTATCCGTTGGGAGACACCATTGAGGTCATTGAGCATAGTGCTAAGGTCCTCCAGCGATTCTGCCATAAGGACTATATCGTCGGCAAATCGAAGGTGAGTGATGTACTCGCCATTGATGTTAATACCGTATCCTTTCCAGTCCAGTAGCTTGAAAACGTCTTCCAAAGCAGCGGTGAAGAGTTTCGGGGATATAACGTCACCCTGTCTTACACCTCTCTGCAGTTGGATAGGTTTCGAGCTCTGGTTCTGTACTCGGATAGCCATCGTAGCCCTACTGTACAAACACTTCAGCACTTCGATATACCGACAGTCAACTTGGCACCGCTGAAGGGACTGCAGCACCGCCCAAATTTCGACGGAATCAAAGGCTTTCTCATAGTCCACATACGCCAGGCAAAGTGGCAAATTGTACTCTTCAGTCTTCTGTACAATCTGCCGCAGGGTATGTATGTGGTCTATGGTACTGAAGCCTTTTCGGAAACCGGCTTGTTCGGGAGGCTGGAAGTCGTCGAGTCTGCTTGCGAGACGATTCGTAATGACTCTCGAAAACAGCACGTAGACGCGGCTCAGAAGGGAAATCGGTCTGTAGTTCTTCAAGAGAGCGTTGTCGCCTTTCTTAAAGAACAAGACCACCGCACTTCTGCTCCACGCCTCTGGAGTAGTGCCACCATGGAGGACGGAATTGAAGAGCTTCTGAAGGACTTCAAGTACCGGTGTTCCACCCGCTTTCCAGAAGCTCCGCTGTAATTCCATCCTCGCCCGGGGCCTTGCCGTTTTTAAGGTGTTGGAGAGCCATTCTAATCTCGCTCAGACTGACGTCCGGGATATCATCGGAATAGTGTCGGATAAGACTTGCTCTTGGATCGTTACTCACACTTGAGTGTGGCTCCAACGATGATGTGTACAGCTGCCCATAGAACCTCTCAATCTCACTCAGAATCTCAGGTGTCCCGGAAACGATGTTGCCACACTCAGTCTTCAGCTTTGACAGTTGGCTCTTTCTGGCAGACAGATCTCTGGCAAAGACTTTGGAGCCCTGGTTCCGCTCGATCGCTTCTTTAATACGAGAAGTATTAAAGTTGCGTAAGTCTCGCCGCATGCATTTGGAGATCTGTCTGTTCAGTTGCCTGTATGCTGTCAAATCTGTTGACGATTGCAGCCTCATCTCCCGTCTAACAGCCATGAGATTAAGAGTGTGATCGGAGAGTTTTTGTGTTCTTCTGCGGCGGGTCTTGCAGAACTTAGCTCCGACCGCATGGACAGTTTCCACGAGCTTGTCATTCATATCGTCCACTGCATTGCAATCTTGTAGGCACTGAAAGCGGTTGTGTAACTCGAGCTGAAAGTTTTCGGGATTCTGGATTAGAGCACGAGGGGGACGGAGCGTTGACTTCATTAGACGAGACCTCTCAAACTTAACGTTTAGGTTCAGTGTGCCTCTAACCATTCGGTGATCGCTGCCAGTTTTCACCCTTGCGATCACTGAGACATCACTGAACAGTTGGCGTCTGGTCGTCATAATGAAGTCAATCTCATTTTTTGTCGAACCGTCGGGGCTCGACCAGGTCCACTTCCTGTGGGGCCGCTTCTGGAAGAAAGAGTTCATCATAAAGAGTCCCTCTTTCTCCATAAAGTCGGCCAGCTGCTGGCCCCTTCGGTTCCGTTGCCCTATTCCAAATTTCCCTAACTTCAGCTCACCGTTTTCTCTTGTGCCTAGTTTTGCGTTAAAGTCTCCCATCAACACCGTGTAGTGGGTTTTGGAGGAATGCATGGCTTTGGAAATGTCCTCATACATTTCCTCCACCTCCTCATCGGAATGTGCCGAGGTTGGTGCGTAAACCTGTATGACCTTCAGCGAATACCGTTTGGTGATTCTGAGTATCAGGTACGCGACCCTCGTCGACACACTCCCAATCTTTACAACGTTGTTGACGAGAGACTTGTGGACGATAAATCCGACACCTCCTTGGGACAGATGGTCGCCCTCCCCGGTGATAGAACAAGTTGCCGGATTCGAGAATCACCGTGTCCTCCCCCTCTCTTCGGACTTCGGATAATCCTATAATACTCCAGCGCAACTTGTCTATCTCTTCTTCCAGCTCCAGGATCTTCTCGTCAGTCCTCAGTGTGCGTGCGTTAAATGTTGCCAGGTCGAGTCGTCGTAGGTGGCAACCGAACCTCCACCGGAGATTCTTAGCACCCCCTGCCCCGCCGTTACCATGGTCGCCACCGTAGCCAGGAATAGCGGAGCCGCCGGGGACTGGGGGCCGTCTATTTGTGTAATTGTTCATGGGGGGTATATTGCCATAGTTGCCACGCTTGGCGAGCGGGTTGGCAACCGCAGTTTTTTTTTATCGTACAGTTGCTGTTATCAGGAAGATGCTGCTGCCCATCTCCTGCCTGTCTCCCTCTGTCGCCTTTTACGACACCCACGGGAAGATATGGGGTAGTGGATATTCTTAACCGCCACTACACGGCACTTTTTTGAATTTATTTCAATTTAATTACACTTTGCGGCCTTAAACAGGAGTTAGCATATTTTACAATTGTAAATATTTTTTTATGGCGATTAGTTTGGGAGTTATCAGATTTTAATAATTATAGTATTATTTGATTAAAACTACTTTTACGGATTTTATCGCGTTTAATTTACTTGATTTTTAAAATTAAGTAAATTAAACGCTATAAAATCCGTAAAAGTAGTTTTAATAAATGTGTAGTGTTCACGTAAATATAAAATATCATAAAGTATTCTTATTAAAAACCAAGTAAAAAATATGTAATATAGTTTTTTAATACCGAAACAAATTCACAAAAATAAATTGAACATTATTAACACAAACAATATGGATTTTTAATTATGCGGTAAATTGTTGTAAAATTCTCTGAAATCTGCTGGCAGGACTTCTTTAATTTGTTGAAGGTCATCATATTTTCGAGCTTTAATTTTCAGTCTAGTTTGGTACAAATTTTGCATTTCCTCAAAACTTTTTGCTGAATAAGGGCTTTTTCTTTGGGGTAGCAGCATCCATGGCTCTTCAAACCGCAACTTATATGAAATTTCTCCTGATGAAGAATACATGAGTGCGCGAATATCGGTGACTTTAGGGTCTCCCGATGATCGTCCAGGGCGAATGCTTTTGTAGCTCGAAATATTACGGAAATCTTTGAAAAAAGTATGTTCCAAATACTTGACATCAAATGGATTAGTGCGCGCAGACTCAATAATTTGAAGATAGTCCGCAGGAACATTTATGATTCTATTACGCATTCTCCGTTCTATTAAAGAATGCATAGCATCCACTTCCATTTGTGTATGGCCGACTTCTAAATATTTCTGCTCGATGGTTATTTTGTTTTTAACTGCCATATTTAATAGCGCATTTGACATAGTCACATTGCGATTTTGATAACCACAGCCATCCGAATAAATAATAATACGTATATCTGTTTTGTTTTCCACTTTAGGTAGAATCTTTTTCTCAATAAAATATGTCCAAATAGAAGCAAACTCATCTGCATTAAGCCCCCCTTCGGTTTCATTCCATACAAAACAATAGCCATCTTTGCTGATATTATTATAAAAGCACAGATTATGCATTTAAAGCTTTGTTTTGTAGTACAATGTGCTGACATTTGACTTAGGTGCCATTAAAACTGCTTGAAGATCTACTGTGAATACAAGACTATTATTCGCTTTATCTGTTTGTTTTTCTTTCCTAGCTTCTTCTTTTTTCAATACATGTAATTGATAATCATGTTCTTCCATTGTCCCCGCCTTATATCTTGCACATATTTCACACTCGTCCTTTTTGGGTCTAAACAGACAAAGATTTCTCGATGACATAAACTCACAGAAAGTAGTTTTAGATAGCGGTTGTATGAGGTGCGATTTGCACCAGTCAGATACGTAAAACTTATATAAATCTATTTTTGTTTTCCAATCAGTTTGCAGATATTTTTTGGAAGATGAAGCCCGACAGTAATGAGATTCCATTGTTGGTAGAGAGTCGAAAAAATCGGCTATTGATTTTTGCCTGTTTACAAAAGGGTTAACTATCTCTGTTAACTCTAAGTTGACTAGGAATGCAAGTATTATCTTTAATTCTATCTTTCCAAGCAATAACAGTCATTCTTCCAATGCCCAAAGTATTTAAATACATAGTTTTGCAAACTCTTACATAACTACCATCAGCTGTTTTTAAATTATACTTGAATGACTGAGCTCGTCGAGAACTATCAGACAGTTTTCGATTCCTATGACGTTTTGTTGCAGCTGATTGAACAGTATCATTAACAAATATTTTCTTCTCTCCCCATGTATATGTTTTCCAAAATTGGTTGAATAGTTTCATTCTTTCTTCATCTTTTATAATGCCACACTTGATTATGCCTGTTTTTCTGGTACATTTGCATCTGTCTTTTAAACGCTTTGGTTCTCTTAAACTTTCATAGACCCATTTAGAATTTTTTTTAATTTTGCCATAATATTGAGAGCCTTTTTCGCGCAATTTTTTATTTTTTTCTGCAAACCAGGTATTTTTATTTACTTGAGTTCGTCTTTTTCTGAATTTACTCTTCTCAGGCAAGGAAGTATCGCTATCGTTTTCTGAACTTGATGAGTATGGAACTAATTTAGGATCGCCAAAATTATCACTAAAATTGGATATTAAATCGCAGTTTTCTATATAAGTATCATTAAAATTTTCTCGCATCGATGAATCGTAAACCCTAACATTATCACAAATTTTTAAAGAATGTGTATTGCTAATTATGTTTGCATTTTCACTAGGTACGTCAAATGTAGTAAAAAAATCAGGAACATCAACTATTTCAATCTGTGCATTTTCTACTAGCGAGTAATGTTCAATGTAATCTTCCAACGGTACATTTAAACTAGATTCAGTATGATTGTCCATCAAATTGATAACATTGTTTAATGTATTCATGTATCTACTATTCTGATCAGCATCAAAATTATTGTTAATAATGGTATTTCCCTTATTAAGCAATAATTCTTGACGCGTAGTAAGAGAATTGCCATTCTGTATTAAGAGCTAAATTGATAGGCTTCCTAGCCATATCTGAAGCCATCTGTGGATAAAACAAAACCAAAATAAGCCACCACATCAAGCATAGCACATAAATAATTGATCCATGCGAAAATTGAACCCAAATCCTATTGTTTAAATATCTTTATCGTTACTATTGTGCCGTCGAACATCATTACAAAACCAAAAATTAATTTTAAAATAAAGCGTTAAAATACTAAAACAAAGTTACAAAATTCTTATGTAAAAAATAAAAATATCCAACTCCTAAACAATATATGAAATAGTAAGAAATGAATTATGCTAACTCCCTTATCATACAAGTTTACATTTCATTTGTACTTTCGTATCAATTTTGCTTAGATATGTGTATCAGAACTATAAATAAATTATAGAATAATACTTACATTTTACAAAAAATACAGTCACATGTAAAGCTTCAAAAAATCCTTATGTTTTAGAATTAAACTCTAGGAAACACTGATAGTACTGCTCACACTGCTAGAAGATGGCGTCGAATGGCGGGAGTTAACATGATTTCCCGCGTGATTTGACAGGCGTGGAGTTAGCATAAAAGATTGAGGCGCGAAATCTATAACCTGGGTTTAGTTTGCGTATTAAGCATATTTGACGATTATGCGCTATTTTTTTCTCTTTCGTTTGATACCAAAAAAGTCAATTTAGCCTAAAATGGAGTTAGCAACTTAGAAATTTTAGCCGAGGATAATTTAATTAAAAGTGAGCAATATGGCTTTCAAAATAATAAATCTACAAGCCTTGCTGGATATGATCTTGTTGATGCAATTGTTAAAGCTATAAATAATAAGCTAAGAGTTACAGCAATCTTTTTTGATATGTCGAAGCCCTTTGACTTTGTATCCCACAAAATACTCTTACAAAACTTTTGTTTTGTAATTTTTTGGGTTTCGTTTGGGGGTTTCGAGGCCCTGTCCTAGATTGGATTGCTAGCTATCTAAGAAATAGGATACAATTTGTAGAAGTAACAAATATTGATAATTCACAGACATTAACTTCTTATAAATCCAGTGATAGATTAAATTCATTTGGAGTTCCACAAGGTTCCATATTAGGGCCAATTCTTTTCCATTTATATATAAATGACTTACCTGACTCAACTTTATACAAATGTATTTTATTTGCTGATGATATTTCAGTTATTGTGACATCTAAAAAAGACATTGACATTGACATCTATGAATCTAATATTAATAATACTATTGACAATATTTCAAAGTGGGCGACATATAATAATTTATGCATTAACGTAGAAAAGACATGTTATATTCAATTTAGTAATTATTGAACATTGAATAATAATTTTAATATATATTGCAATGGACAATCTGTTAATGAAATGACTGAAACAAAATTTCTGGGAATATTATTGGACAAACATGTGAACTGGAAAGCCCAAGTTGAAAAAGTCTGTTCTAAAATAAATAGCTACATTTTTCTTCTTAGCAGACTGAGAAGAATTACATCTCATGAAACTTTACTAACGGCGTACTATGCATACATTTATTCTGCACTCGATTATGGTCTTTTGCTTTGGGGTAACAGTACAGATGCTATTAAAGCCTTTACAGCCCAAAAGAAATGTATTCGAGCTATGAATGGTTTGGCACCAGATTCATCGTGTAAACCGTATTTTAAAAAATTACACATTTTGACGCTGCCATGTATGTACATCCTAAATTTGGTATGTTTTGTTAAAAATAATATACTTTAATTCACAAAGCTAAGAAATACTGCACAGAGAAACTTGAAGCATACTGAAAGATTGACACATAGTGTAATGCCAAGCACTAGCCTCTATAGGAAAAATTGTTCAGCTATGTGTATAAAAATTTTCAATGCACAGCCTACAGAGTTTCAATCACTCCCAAAGGTACGTTTTCGCAGGATTGTCAAACAATGGCTTGAGGAGCAATGCTTCTACTCTGTTCAAGAATATTTAAATTTTATGATTAGGATTAGGAATCGATATTAAAATGAATTAAGTAACTACTATCATATTATTTTAATTAAATTAAATTAAATGTAATAAAATTATTATGATGATTTTGAAAACATGTTATTAATTTATTAGTTGTGAAAATGTAATTAATGTATTAGATAAATATTTGTATGTCAACATTATGACAAAACATGCTGGACTTAAATAATTTACCAACCTGTAATGCACCATGTTTTCTGCAAATAAATTATGATTATGATTATGATTATCATATCAATAACCTAAACTATAAATGACTGATTTATTTGAAATGGCGTCCGCTCCTTTTAAGGTTTTACTGAATTTATAGATTTAGATTTATGGTATTCATTGACCATTAGGCAAGATTTTTCAGTTAACCCAATGGTACTACTAAAGTATACCTAGGGACATCTAGCGGATTTTAAGAAAAGGCAAAATCCTGTTTCTGGCGGATTTTTTCTGTTAGTCTAGGGACTTTAAAATTTGTAGAACGGCAACCCTGTCACTGCCCATAGAGGAAAGTAACGGACGAGGCCTGGTGCTGTAGAGACGTGTAGCTCTTTTTGCCGCAATATTTACGTTAAGATTTTTTAAGGACGCGTTTACAAAATTGATATAGGTATAGAATCGAACTATTACATTGACACGTACACAAGTGTACGCACGGTTGGCTACGGGAATCGTAGTCAAAATTATTTTGATAATTTGAAAGATCAAATTTGTTTTTGATTTCTTATACCTCATAAATATACTTAGATACATAGAGTAATTAGATTTAGATACGAAATACGAATACCTACTTTAGATACTGCTTGGCACTGGAAGCCCTCTACTGGCAGTGAGATGTTAGCTGTGGACTTTAGGCTGATTTTGTCAGTTATGATAAAACTTTACCTCCGGACTTGATGGGGTGACCAGTAGGTGAACTTCAGTAACTAATACTGGAACACCTGGAGTAGTAGAACTCCGGAGTTAACGGAGTAACCTGAAGGTGTACTTTGGTAATCGCTATTGGAACTGGTCGCCAAGTACTACTAGGTGTGCCGAGTTTGGGCTCGTTTTGTTAGGTATGATGAGTTCTTACCTCCGGACTTGACGGAGTGACCTGAAGGTGTACTTAAGTAATCACTATTGGAACTGGTTGCCGAGTACTACTAGGTGTGCCGAGTTTGGGCTCGTTTTGTTAGGTATGATGAGTTCTTACCTCCGGACTTGACGGAGTGACCTGAATGTGTACTTTGGTAATCGCTGTTGGAACTGGTCGCCGAGTACTACTAGGTGTGCCGAGTTTGGGCTTGTTTTGTTAGGTATGATAAGTCCTTACCTCCGGACTTGACGGAGTGACCTGAAGGTGTACTTTGGTAATCACTATTGGAAGTGGTCGCCGAGTACTACTAGGTGTGCCGAGTTTCAACACCAGATGGCGCTGTCGGTTGAAAGATTAGTGATGTCATTTTCTGGAAAGGTCCCCCCGCTCTCGTCCCTGATACTACATGACGTCAACTTAGGCGCGCGACACTGCCCCCTCCTAAGACATGCTCGTCCCGAGAATTATCGGCCCCATAATAACGCGTCCACATGGACGATCTAAGGAGTCCCTCTTGCGCTTTTCTGTATCCGGTAGGTTACATCGTCGATCCTGGTTACAATCCGGTACGGGCCGTCCCATTTAGCTTGAAGCTTAGGAGATTTCCCTTTGCTGCGGACTGGATTGTGCAACCACACTAGTGAACCTTCGTCGAACCCTTTATTGTTCATTTTTCGGTCATACCGGGTTTGCATCTTCTCAGACATTTGCTGGCCCGATTGTCTGACGTGCTCATAAATGTCATTCGTTTTATTCCGCAAGTCATTTGCATAATCCGTTATACTGCGTAGGGGCATCAGGTGGTATCCCGGTGATCAGGTCTGCAGGGGTATTCTCTTAAAGTTTGCGTCAAACTTTGGAAGAGAATTACGCTGGCTTAGAATTACGGCTGGTATGAACCTGTCCGTCTTATGGCTGCGCGTAGACAGCGACGATCATCCCCGCATCTACGGGTGCCTCTATAGGTCCCATAGCGGTAATGCCGAAACGGACCGACGTGACATCGACCACGTCCAGATGGCTACAGACTCCGTGCTACAACAGATCCCATCCGCAGAGATCATGATACTTGGTGATTTTAACGTCCACCACGCTGAATGGCTTTGTTCTGGTTTAAACAATCGTGCGGGTAGATCTGTTTATAAATTTGCTCTGGCATATGGTCTGACACAACTAGTTACCTCGCCTACGCGGATCCCAGATGTAGGTGACCATGTACCTTCCCTGTTGGACCTTCAGTTGACCTCTCATCCGATCTCTGTCGATGCACCTCTTGGATCCAATGACAATGGTCCGACCATTGTCTGATCGGGTGTACGGTGCCACTCACGCTCTCATCGCGCTTGCGTACTGCAGCTTGCCGCCGTGTTTGGCATTATATGTCAGCAGATTGGGACGGGATGCGATCTTTTTTGTATCCTACCCTTGAAGGCGGGTTTGCTTCTCGCCGGATGATCCTAACGTTTTTGCTGATTTTGTCGCTGATGTGGTGTTACAGGGAATGGAACTTTTTATTCCATCATCTGTGGTACCTATCGGACCTATGTGTACCCAGCCTTGGCTTGGTTGCTCCGGCAAAATTGCACCACGTCATAAGCAGGAGTGGTACTAGGCCTGGGGTCGCGCATCGACGTCTCGATATGCAAATACCAGCGCTCTTAAAAAGAAGTACAATTCTGCCTCCAGGTCTTTCAAAAGTGTCATTATCAAGGCAAAGTCAGAGCACATCGGCAGAATTGGCGAGAAACTAATTCGTCTTTCTTCGGGAACACGTGCAATCTGGTCTCTCGCCAAGGCTGACCAGGGAGTTTT